TATATATAAAGAGGGATCCATTTACTTTAGGAATAAGTTTACCTAAACTTATTCTGTTCAATAACTCATGTTTACATTAAATTTCAACGATCTAATCGTTAAATTTAAAATTCTTAATGCATAGATCAAGTTTGTAAACTTTTAAAAAATTTAAAAATCATTTAATACTTTATTTCATTGATTCAAATTAACAGATAAACAGATAATCATAAAATCATTTTATACATTAATTTGAATTAATGAAACGAAGTATCAAATAGTTTTTAATTGTTTAAAAATTTACAAATTTGATCTATGTATTAAAAAATTTAAATTCAACGGTTGGATTGTTAAAATTTGATGTAAAACATGAATTATTAAAAGGAGTAGATTTAAATAGACTTATTCTTAAATTAAATAGATTCCTCCTCATATATATATATATATATATATATATATATATTACACTAACTACTCGATCCAAAGGAATGACTCTAAACTTATAACATGCACATGGCTTGCTATAATTATATAATCAATAAATTTCACCAAAATAGTAAAGGTGTTTTCAATGAATGTGGTTGCGTACGTATAATGGATATAAAATAGCTTACAGAACACTAATTTAGAAACAAGATCGTTGAAGATGCTCTGATATAAAATAAATTAAAATAAGCTTGGCCTTTTCACAAGTCCCCAAATACATACATGGCATCTAGCTATTACCCTCCATATAGTCAGGGACACAACCAGAGTTTTTACCTTAGTCAAATCCCCAACTTAGCTATCACCGGCCAATTAATTCTCGTGTAGATTCTCTCTTAGCGTGGTCTCCTTCTTCCACACACGACAAAAATATGGCCAGTGCAGAGATAGAGATGCATATGGTTCTTAATTAGTGTAAGAGTACACAAGAGGTAAAAAGGAAAGAAAATCTGTGTGTAGGATTAGAATCATACAATAGGAATAAAAGATGATTTTTATATAATATAGTATTTCATTAATGCATAAAGTATAGTTGAGGCGATTGGACCTCCTTCCCCACCCCCAACTTGGATCCAATATAGATTAAGATGGTGTGCATCTCTCTAATTGAAAAGTTTAAATTAAAGAGTGTAGGGGTTATCAAAAAAGTAACAAAAATCTTGATGGCTTTGTTTGCGATGGATATGCATGGATATCTTGTGCATGTAAAAATTGGTAAATTGGTTGCACTGATCTTTTCTGATTCCTTGTTGCTTTGGCTGCATCTTTTGTCCTGCTTGCTGCATGCCCATCACGTCTTTTCACAAAAGCAAAGACAAGATCCATAGATGGACGTTCAAAATTATATTAACTACTTACTAATAAAGAAACCATATTTACTTATCCCTTTGTTCCCATTTTGAAGGAACCTAGCTAGCTATGTGCCCCGCGGGGCTGTTTAACGCAGATCTGAAGGTTTTGTTCTCAAGATTGTGGACAATAATATATTGCTTACCTATGCAAAAGAGAGGATCATATCGAGGGTAATGGTAGAATCAATTAGTGCTTTTTGTTTTTAAAAAGTATATATATTTACACTAACAATAAAAAACTAATTCTTTTCGAAATATCGAGATGATTTCAGTTTTTGATTAACTTTTTATTCATATACGTAATCAGATAATCAAATTTCATGTTAACATATTTATAAAAATTTGACTATCTATCAACTTATGTTATCATTAACTGTGTTGAACTTTATTAACGTGAATCATTTCGTGCTAATGCCGAACAAATACCACATCAGTCAAAAGTACATGCCATGACAGATAAACGACAGATTAGGGCATGTATTAATTAGAATGAGAATCGGATACAGACTAAATGATCAAAACAATTATTTATAACGAATAAAAATCCTACTTATTAAAAGAGTTTGGATGGGAATATTTATTTTTGAAATTTAT